TTCACTGGCCTTGGTCCCATTTAAAAAAATGAAATCTCTGCAGGGTAACAGATGGCCTTGGGCAAAAATGCACCTTTAGCAGAGCAATTAGTTCAGCATAAGACTTAGTGTTTGGTAAGGCAGGTGCTGTGAAGGAACGAACAATGGCAAATGTTTCGGCACCACAGACTGTCAGGAGGATCATGCACTTTTGTGCTGGGTTTTCCACTTTGTTGGCTTCCAGGTTTTAGGATAGCCTTTCCGCTTAAGAGTCCCAAGAAGCCAGCTGGCTCACATCAAATTCTTCTATATGCCCCAATGTAGCCATTCGAACTACCATCAGCCGTATTAGAGAAAAAAGAAGAAAAAAAAAAAAACTTTCCTCTGATCACAAAACACAGCCTGGTCTCAGAACGTCATCCCACAATCTAGGGGTATCTTCTCAGCAAAGGATCCCATCTTTGTCACCAGATGATACGTTGTGAGTTCAGCAACACCACTCTGGACACTCCTGGGTTGAAGTACAGTTATTTATTATTATAACTCTCTGGAATCATATCCAGGGTGGATCTTAACAATTGCCTCAGTTGATAGATGTATGCAGAACTTATACTTGCTCTGCCTCTGACCCCATCCAGTCCTCTGCAGGGAGAGGAACCAAGGATGCCTTTGGCTCCTCATAGCAGAGAACAGGGAGTCCCGAGTGCTGCAAAAGTGCCACAAAGCAGCTGAACCCTGCAGCGCTGAGCATGGGGCTTTGGCCTCAAAGGGCCAGTACTAGGAAAACACAATAAGACAGCAGTTCCCTCCTATTACACTGACCAAACTTTAGTACTACAGAGCATCTGGACAAGGACCTTCTGGTACATGTTTGCAGATTCTGAGTGCTATAGGAAAGTTTCCTTTGTGCATATAGCTTTTTACCACCTTTTCTCTTATATCCATTGCTCATATTTGGCAGTGCCCTCCCCCTTTCTCTTCTGCATTCTGGACTATGTAGGAGGCACTGCAACAGATACGAAGCTGCTATTCTTTGTTATGAATCTTAATATTCATGCAAAGATTTATTTTCTTCCTGGCTTCCCCAATAGATTCCATATCAGCATGTGACAGTAATTATATATTTAGACAGCAGAAAATGTAAGTATATATTCTGTTGGACGCAAACCATTATGCTTCTGGGATTTTTCATGCACGAAGACTTATTTCATATATGAGTAATTAAGGAAACAGTTAAAGTCTTATGCTTAGTTCCAAAGTCTCTGTTAATACTTTTCTCGCTGTTTTGATATCATGAGACAAATCTGACAGGCTAGTAGTTTCCAGTAGGTTTTTTAAAAACTGCCTGGTAAAGAAAAACAGTATAAAAGTCATTAATATCATAAAATATTTTATCTAGTATGAAGAGTCCAAACCCAAAGTTTATATTACTTGAAACAGAAGGTCAAATATTCCGGAGTCTTTCATAAAATTGCATGTTTAATTTGGCCATAAAGAATTTAAAATAGAAGCACATTAAGCTAAGCCAATGTACCTCAGCCAGAGGTGAAAAAGCAATGTTACATGAGACTATATATATTATAACAGCGCAATAACCAGGAGACATGGGTCTCTCCCTAATGTCCAGAAATGCTGGGCCCAATTTAAACCTTTAATCAGTTGAGAGAGGAAACCTAATACAAGCATAAAGAAAAGGGGATGAAAGAATGAATCATATATCAAGGAAATAAGACTTGGTGAGTTGTCTCCCAAAGGAAGGAAAGTGACGTCTCAGTTTGGGAATATTTGGAAGAATAATAAGGAGAGAGAAGTAGTATAGATAAATGTACTAGTAAATACCAAGGGGTGTAATGGTAAAGTGGTTGAGGTCACTTCTTATCGCTCCAGAGCTATCCGTTTGAGTCAAAGATTGCCCCAGTTGACCTCATTATAAATAGGTATCTGGTCCTATGAGGCGTGGAGTCAACAAAGGCAACCAGACAGAAATGCTTACCTCATTGCTCTGGATTTTTTGACAGGTAGGTAATAGAAATCAAAAGACTACCTCAATCTTCAAAGCCATTACTTTAGCTGAACAAAAAATGGCTTCATTTGGAAGAAATACCCATGTATACATTTAATCTCCAAATTAGTTTTACTGTATCCTGAATCCAAGTGCAAGAGAGGGTATAGTGTCACCTGCCACTTTCCCCAGAGAAAATGCATCTTGCAATATTGTTAGCATCCAAATTTATGTGGAAAATCCCAATGAGCATTCAGCTTCACCTGAATCTGCTATGAAGGCACGGGTGTCCCACCAATTTAAACAAAAGATACTTGAATTGTTCCACATTCAAGGTCCACATGATGAAGATGCTAAATTCCTCTTTATACAAAAAACTCTTATTTCTCTAATAGACACTTCCATTTATGTGCTAACACATTTTCAGTGCTAACAATTAGTTGCTGGTGTAGATAGCATTTGTTGCCTTATTAATGAACATAAAAAATAGAACTATTTATTCCCTGTTGCTGGTGGCAAAGCTTTTTCCAGGTAAACCTCTTATCTTGGTGTAAAAGAACAACCTTTTTCATAAATGCTAGTAGAGTTGCTGTGTGTATAGTCAGCTTGTCTGTTCGTTTTGTAGTTAAACTCTATCCTAATCCTTCACATGGGACTTCCATCATTATGGTACATTCATCATTACCCCAACATCCACTTTTTGACTAGAGTGAATAGGGTCTTTTTAAATATCAAAAACCCACAGAATCCTCGCAGCATAGAAAAGAATTGCTGAAAACTACACATACCTTTTCTGTAAGGGCACTATGGTCTGAAAAGCCAGCAAGGAAGAAATCTTTGGCAGAGTTTTCCCAATTGCAGAGCAAGAGGTGAAACTGCTGCCAAGTAAGACAAAAATCGTTTTCTGAGGTTCTGAAAGCTTTAGAAGTTCATGTTGCCAAGGGAACACCACCAAACAGAGAATCATTAAACAGTTGCTATCTTATTTCAATTACAAATCAGGCTCCAGCTATTGCTAAATGGGGTGCTTGTAAACCAGCAGAGCATAAAAGCTATTGCGAAGCGCTGGGAGCTCTTCATAGATGAAGCATAAATTCATTTGCGGATTAAGATTTATTGGGGCCTTGACCAAACAGAAAATTGGATGCCCCCCACATCCCATTTGATGCCCCCCGCACCTGATTCAACTGTCAGAGACAACCTGCAGTGGGTCTTTCCTGATGTGCTGGGTGCGGGGATTGGGGCCAGGATTGGCCCCGGGCTGGTGGCGGTGGTGCGATGGGCAGAAGCCTTGGCCTAGTCTAGGTTCTGCGCAGCTCCGTTGCCCTGGCCCTTCGCCTGCCCCACAGCCAAGCTGTGCCATGCCCTGGAGCACACTAGCTGCACCTTGTGCTCCTCAACACCCTGCCAGGTGCCCCCAGATCAGGACCTCCCCCTGGATTGGGACCCCCCCCACATTGGGACATCCCCACTGGGATTGGGACCCCACTACATTGGTAGCATTAGAGGTTTTTTCCAGGGGGTCCCTGATTTGCAGGAACTTGTGGGCCCAGGCCACACAGGCCCATGTGTTAATCCACCTCTGCATAAATTATGAAGCTGAACAAAGCTCCTGTCTTGACAGATCTGGGATTACAAAATTGAATAACAGCAGGAATTCTGAGTAAATTTCAGCAAGTATTAGTACTGAGCCTTATGGAGCTCCGGGAAGGAAAACATCTGGAAAAACCCTTGATGGCTTCAGATTGTTCCGAAAAAGCTTAACGAAAGGGGATCACAACTCCTTTCTGAACCCCTACAAGCCACAGAGTAAACCAATGAAAAATAGTGGCCTCTTTCATTTAATTGTATAACAAGTGATGTTTCCTTTGCTTTTATTTTACTCACCTCAAAATCCATGTTCATCAGATAGTAAATATAGATTTCTCAAATAGGAAGTGATTTCTAAACCTTGAACTTAATTGCAAAATGTTTTGAATGCCTATTTTTAACAGATTCTAATTTAAAAAACTGGCAGGGGTGGAAGGAGAGTCGATATTTATTTTGTCCCTATTTGATAGTGCAGGGTTCCTTAGATGGATAACAGTATCTGATGCCTGGATAGAAACCAAAGCTAGAAAAATGCAAACACAAAATAAGGCATACAGTTTAAACAGTTATATTATATTAACCACTAAAATAGTTCATTAAGGATATTATAGATTCCCTATTGTTGCACATACTAAAAATCAAGATTAGAATGTTTCTCCAATTCTCTCTAGCTCTGCCATGCCTGTGTTATGGAAAGGTGAGCATGATGCTCTTTGAGTTTATGAAACTAAACATTACTTTCTTGCTATGATATACGAATGTATTTATCTACTTGTCAAAAAGTTAAAATGTAGTAAATATAAACCAGTTCCTTGGTGCTTAGATGCTGGAGAAGAGCTAAAATAAAAAGAGTTCCTTAAAGGACACAATACTACTTCAGGCAAGTACTGAGCTTCCTACTTCATAGCTTTCATAGACATTAGGGCTAGAAGGGACCTCACGAGGTCATCAGGTCGAGCCCTCTGCCCAAGGGGCAGAAAGTCAGCTGAGGTCAGATCACCCCAGCGAGATAAGCATCCAAGCATTTCTGGGGGGAGTCTATTCCAGACCCTGGAGACTTGGATGGTAAAGAAATTTTTCCTTATGTCCAGTCTAAATGTTCAGCAGTTTGTGACCGTTGCACCTTGTCTTCCCTTGGGGTGCCCCAGTGAACAGACATTCTCCCACTGCAAGACCCAGTTCCATGCCAGCTCAGACACACCTGCAGGGGAGCTGGTTGCAGGCTTACACAAGAATCAGGCAAGTGAGAACTGGCAGACAAACTCGCCACACCTGGGAAAGCAGCAGGGGCGGGTGAAGCTTTGAGGTCTAACGCCAAAATGTCTAAGTCTGGGAAACACCCAAGTGGGACAAAGGGGTCAGGAAACCCCTGACTTTTCTTTTTTATTCACTTATTACTTTGGCAATGGAAAAAGATTACATGGGGCAGTGGGAAAAGATCCATGGCCCCAAGAACTGTATTTTCCTGGGCTGGGAAAAGAAGTCCACAGCAGTGACATCTTCAGCTGAGCCTTACTTGAGTTTCTGTTTTATCATTTGAGTCATCTTGCCTTCTTTGTCCACTGATCAAATGGTGACTGACCAGTCAAATAACTGACACAGGATCAGCCTAAGTAAACCAGGTTCAAACCACACAGATTGGCCAAGGTGAAGAATAGCTGAAGATTGCCCATTGAGAGACAAGGGTGCAACAAATACAAAAACAACTGCGTAATGCTAGGATGGGGCTTCAACCACCCCAGCAGGCAGATCAGGGGCTCACCCAGGAGGGCTACAGGGCTCTGCTGGACTCCTCCCAGGGATGCAGACCCCCGATCTGCCTGCCAGATGACAGGAGGCTGGTGCTGCCACCTGGGACCGGTGCTGGGTGGAGCCCGCACCCAGCAATAGGAAGATTGGTGCTGCCACTGGCCCCAGCTGGCAGCAACAGCCTCCTGCCACCCAGCATGCAGATCTAGGGGCCTGCACCTCTGGGAGGGCTGGGGGACGTGCCAGAATCCTCCCAAGGAGCGTGGCCCCCAGATCTGCGCCAGATGACAGGAGGCTGCTGCTGCTGACTGGGATGACGCTAAAAACAAGTAAGCCTGGCTTTGAAACTCGAAACGTTTCGAAACTTTTGAAACGTTTCGAATGCCCTTGCTTGGTTTCAAAGCTGTTTCAGGAGCTTTTGTTTCGTTTCAGAATGCATTGAAACGGCTTCGAAATGAAACACCCCGTGAAATTTCACACAGCCATAATATCTTTATGCAGTGTGATAACAGCTCTGGAACCAAATACTACAATTAATTTTCCCTTTGTATATAGCAATCAACATGTAAGCTTCAATTAGGAGTATTTATCACTGAGACAAAAGAATACCGTTGACATCAAGTAGGCTCAAAATGATGCATTCCCCCTCCAATTTTTCTTCAAAATTTATATAGAATCACAGGAAATAGCTTTTTAGCATGATATTTTGAAAGAAACATCTTGAACACTTATTTTTAGAGTATATTTTAAACATTTACATTTATCAAAAGGAGGTAACCCTGCAGAGTAAGAAAAAAGGAGTCAGTTGAACAAAGGTTGAAGGCACAGGGAAGCCCTAAATCACCACCTTAAGAACCAAGAAATGTCATTGGGAAAAAAAACAAATTTAAGAATATAAATAAATATTACATTAACAACCCCAGTGACCCTGGTGTGGCTGTGAAAAATTAAACAAAATAAGATGATACAAAGCTCTGCCAAATGCCGCAGTAGTTTATCTAACTTAAGCAGTGAATACAGGTATGTAATTATGCAAGCTTCAGGCTATACATGGAATTAACACGTGGTTGACTGAATATTGATGATGGAAGAGATCACTTGAACAGCCTGACTCAAATGGAGGAGGTTTTGACATGTATCTACAGAGAATAAATGAGAAGCTGGGTTTCTTGCCATCAGAGGGCAGGGGATTAAGAGGCATTTTTTATTTGTAGACCCAGGTGGGATAATTTAACTTTCTTGTTCTCCTGCCCGTACAGCATGGACTGGGAGGGCAGGGTAGATCATACAGGGCTGGCACAGCTATTCTGGGAAGTTGGTGAGATGTTTGGTCTGGCAGAGGATTTGTGTCAATGCAGCCAGGGCCAACGTTTGTTTGTAGAACATTAACTTCCTAATCTCTGGTTTTAAAACTGAACATTAAACATTGAATCTTATTTTGAAAATAATGTGTGTGAAAGCAATAAGGACAAAGGTCCAGGGTTTTATTTATTGTTGTTGTTTTGCTTTCTTAAATAAATATTTACCTAGAAACACAGCTTTAAAGACATTTGTCCAGGAAAGTATGCTTACAGTTAAGTGAATGGCTCTGCAAGCCAAAATACTGCCCATTCATTTTCCCAGTTTCGGCATAGCATCCCAGCTTCTACATTGTGCCATTATGCTGTGGCACTTTCCTGACAGACAACAAGATCAGCATGCCCATCTCTGCATTTTTACTTCTTCTCCATGCATGTAGGAACTCTTCTGCCACCTATGATACACCCTGGTTGGCCCATGTTCCACTAAGTCAGTAGTGGAAAAAGACTAAGGACGTTCATCCTTGTTTTTTAACTTGGCAGCTAACTTGGAATTGTTGCCAAATTATGCTGGATCTGGGTTATTGCATCCCTAATACTCTATATAGTAGTAAGTGTTTCCAGTAAGCTACACAGAACCATTGAAGACCCACTGATACTGCACTGGACTTAAGCTGAACAGTGATGTTCAGAACCAAATTTGTTTTATAACATGTTAGCATATTTTAAGCAATTACTCAGTCATATGAAGCCTTGATAAAGAACTCAGCAATATTGCTGAAGAGGTAAACCAGACTTTTTATTGTACATGTTAGCAGAACCAGGTGACATTATTCAATTTCCCTTAAACCTTTGGAAGCATAAAGAGCACTAAACTGAAATTTGAACAATTAAATAAGCACAAGTTCCTCACTCAAAGCATCTTCACAATGAGCTGTTCATTAATTGGTGCTTCCCATCAGACTGTTAAGGGCATCACAGGTTTACCAAGCAGCTAATCCTTGATAATTAAAGGCTTCCAACAAAACCTTCTTTCCAGGGAGTCTGGGCAGTTTCACATTAGCAAGAAGTGAATAGACAAAGTATTTCAGGAAACCTGCCAAATAGTAGCTCATACACTAGAAACAAAGTACTGCAGTCTTTAGGGGATGAAGAAAAAATACAGTAATGGTTGCTGTCTTCTTACAATGATCAATACTTTCTTCCTGCTGTTCTTTATTATTATTCTATTAACTGTCCAAAATTATTAAATATACATATAGTCATGTACATTTAAGGCACACTTATTTGTCAGCTTGTGCATTGCTCTGCCCTGCCCCCAACCTGAATGTGATGATGTCTCCATTTTTCCCCAGTGGGGGCCTTCTCTGGACCACTGCCATCCTTCCTACTGTCCATTACTAGGCAACTGTAACAGCACTGCTTGCATTCACTCCCCTTTGCTTTTGTTTTCTCTAGTGCTTTACATACCAAGAGGTGGATACCTTTATCTACAGTGGTCTGTTTTAAGCAGCCTTTGCCCAATTGGCTGCAATTAAGCATTTAAGGTTATAACTCTTTTCCTAAAAATCTGTGCTAGCCTCATATTTTGCATATCCTCATCCTGCATCTTGTTCATACTCTGCAACAAGGAAGTAATTCTTATTCTCTGATTAGCAAGACCCAAATGCTATAGGTTATAGAAATATCATTCTATTAGTGTATTTGGACAACAGTTATGACACATTGGGCTAGTAACCAAGTACTAAATCAACCTGCAGTAACTTGTGCTAATGCGCAGTAGCTCCAGTGCATGGGTTTTTAGTGACACTTACTATGCAGTAGCTTAATATTGCTGCACAGTCACAGTCAAGTATTAGTAGCCTCCAGTTGTTAAGTCTGTTGGGGTTGGCAGAGGGAGAAGGAAAGGGGCGTGGGGCTGGGGCAGGGGCAAGCCACCCAGCCAGAGCGGAGGCGCACATTACTTGGGGAGAGGTGAGGGGCTGCAGGATGTGGGCATGGCAGTGCTCAGAGCAGGGACTCTGCCCTGCTGCTGATTGCCCAGCCAGGGCAGGAGGGGACAGGCATGGTTCGCTCCAGGCAGAAGGGGGCAAGCAGCAGAAGGGCATAGCCCCACTCCCAGTGCTGCCACTCGCTTCCAGCCAGCACGGGGTAGCAGACGCAGCGGTGCTGGGAGCAGGGACTCTGCACTGCCACCACGTCCCAATGAGTGCAAGGGCCAAACCTGGCAGTGCCGGGAGTGGGGACTCTGTGCTGCAGCCGGTTGCCCATCTGGCATGGGGGGCATGGGATGCGGGCTCAGCAGCGCTGGGAGTGG